TACCTTACACTTATCCACATTGAACTTCATCTGCCATTTTTCAGACCAAGACATTAATTTGTCCAAATCCTCCTGAAGTTTATTGCTATCCTCCTCAGAATGAATTATACGGCCTATCTTTGTATCATCAGCAAATTTACTCATGTCACTCGGAATCCCTTCATCAAGGTCATTAATGTAAATTATGAACAAGAGAGGGCCTAAAACTGATCCTTGTAGAATGCCACTAGTGACTAATCCCCTTTCAGATTTCACCCCATTAATAGTAACTCTCTGCTTTCTATTGGTAAACCATGCCTCTATCCATGCTAGAACTTTACCTCCTATACCATGAGTTGCCACTTTTCTTAAGAGTCTCTTGTGAGGTACTCTATCAAAGGCTTTACTAAAATCCAAATAAACAATGAAGTTGAGACACATGTGCAACATCTGGTTATCTTTATTGTAGACGTTTCGCCATCCAGTGGCTTTATCAATACAAATTCCAGGACATAACTTGAAGATAGTAGCACTATGTACAGAAGATGAGGTAATCAGTCCCTCAGCCTAGCAGTAGGTGTGAAGAGCACCGTAGTCTTGGAGATTCTGAAGCAGAAGCAAGGTGCCTGACGCTTATATACTAACGTCAGGTGGAAATGGGACGGGTAGCAGACAAGGCCATAGTCACCGGTAGGCGGGATTCCCCAGTGGAAGTAGGTCCTACCCAAGAGATGGGTTAGTTGTAGTAGTAGTTGTCGTAGTCGTGAAGTTTATGTACATGTCCTCAGAATCAAGATTCCATGATGTTGCAGTGTCTGACAGGTTGTACAAGAATGGTATACAATACCGACAAGATGTATTGTATACCATTGTATTGATAAAGCCACTGGATGGTGAAACATCTACAATAAAGATAACCAGATGTTGCACATGTGTCTCAATTTCATCTTGTCGGTATTGTATACCATTCTTGTACAACCTGTCAGACACTGCAACATCATGGAATCTTGATTCTGAGGACATGTACATAACCTTCACAACTACGACAACTACTACTACAACTAACCCATCTCTTTGGGTAGGACCTACTTCCACTGGGGAATCCCGCCTACCAGTGACCATGCCCTCGTCTGCTACCTGTCCCATTTCCACCTGACGTTAGTATATAAGCGTCAGGCACCTTGCTTCTGCTTCAGAATCTCCAAGACTACAGTGCTCTTCACACCTACTCCTAGGTTGAGGGACTGATTACCTCATCTTCTGTACATAGTGCTACTATCTTCAAGTTATGTCCTGGAATTTGTATTGATAAAACCACTGGATGGCAAAACGTCTACAATAAAGATAACCAGATGTTGCACATGTGTCTCAATTTCATCTTGTTGGTATTGTATACCATTCTTGTACAAATAAACAATATCATATTCTTTTTCACTGTCAACTGCCTCAAATGTTCTATTGAAGAACGTCAGTAAATTTGTCAGGCAGGAACGACCTCTCGTGAATCCATGCTGAGATTCATTTATCAAGTTATGCTCTTCAAGGTGACTTCTAATAATGTCAGCTATAATCGATTCTAATAACTTGCCCACTATAGATGTCAGGCTTATTGGACGGTAATTTGAAGGAGTGGACTTATCCCCTGATTTGAATATAGGAACCACATTAGCCATCTTCCACAACTCTGGCACAACACCGGTAAGGATGGACGCACTAAACACACTCGTTAATGGCTGACTAAGCTCCATCTTGCATTCCTTAAGTACCCTGGAAAACAACTCATCGGGTCCCGGGGACTTATTTTGCTTCAGTTTGTCTATCTGTTTAATAACCATGTCCCTCATAACAGTAATATTAGTTAATTTAAATTCATCATGAACTAAATAATTGTTAATTACTGGAATCTCATTTACATCTTCCTGTGTAAAAACTGACAAAAAATAGTCATTAAATAAGGAACACATTTCCAGTTCATTATCCGTCAGCTGTCCATTCCCAATTTTCATATTTCTGATGTTTCTGAAGTTGTGTCATGAGACACACTGTACCTCTGGTCCCAAGTTCAACTCTCAACCCACCTTCTTCTGGCATCTATGCACTGATGTAGCCAGTGTTTAAGAACATAAGAAGGGAGGAACACTGCAGCAGGCCTGTTGGCCCATATTAGGCAGGTCCTTTACAATCCTTCCCACTAATAAAACATTTGCCAAACCCAATTTTCAATGCCACCCAAGAAATAAGCTCTGATAACTTTATCCACTCTCATATGCAAGTCCCACTCAAATCCAACCCCTCTCACTCATGTATTTATCCAACCTAAATTTGAAACTACACAAGGTTTTAGCCTCAATAACCCAACTAGGTAGACTGTTCCACTCATCAACTACCCTATTTCCAAACCAATACTTTCCTGTATCCTTTCTAAATCTAAATTTGTCTAATTTGAATCCATTACTGCAGGTTCTCTCTTGGAGAGATATCCTCAAGACCTTATTTATATCCCCTTTATTAATATCCATCTTCCACTTATACGCTTCGATCATGTCTCCCCTCATTCTTCGTCTAACAAGTGAATGTAATTTAAGGGTCTTCAATCTTTCTTCATAAGGAAGATTTCTAATGCTATGTATTAATTTAGTCATTCTACGCTGAATGTTTTCTAACGAATTTATGTCCATTCTGTAATATGGAGACCAGAAATGAGCTGCATAATCTAGGTGAGGCCTTACTATGATGTATAAAGCTGTAATATAACCACTGAACTTCTGTTGCTTACACTTCTTGATATAAATCCCAGTAATCTGTTTGCCTTATTATGTACACTTAGGCATTGTTGTCTTGGTTTAAGGTTGCTGCTTATCATAACCCCCAAGTCCTTTTCGCAATCTGTATGGCTAAGTTCTACATTATTTAACTTATAAGTGCTAAGGCTGTGGACACTCCCGAGCTTCAGAACCTTGCACTTATCTACACTGAACTGCATCTACACTTTTCTGACTAGTTATTGAGTTTGTTTAAATCCTCCTGAAGTTCCCTGACATCTACATTTGAATCAATTATCCTACCTATCTTTGTGTCATCGGCAAATTTGCTCATATCACTAGTAATACCCTCATCAAGATCATTGATATATATTATAAACAACAACGGGCCTAAGACTGATCCCTGTGGAACGCCACTTGTTATGGATCCCCACTCGGATTTAACCCCATTTATGGACACTCTCTGCTTCCTGTCTGTGAGCCATGACTCTATCCATGACAGCACTTTTCCCCTAATGCCATGAGCTGCCACTTTCTTTAACAGTCTTTGGTGTGGTACTCTATCAAAAGCTTTACTAAAATCTAAATAAACAATATCAAATTCTTTGTCTTGATCAACAGCCTCAAAAGCTTTACTGAAGAAAGTTAGTAAATTAATTAGACAAGAATGGCCTCTCATAAATCCATGCTGAGTATCATTAATCAGATTATGCTCATCCAGATGGCTTCTCATAATCTCAGCTATTCTAAATATTTTTCCACCTAGACATCTTTTTGTTATTAAAGTTCTCAACTTTTATGTTGTTGGTTTGTATTCATCCAGCTGCAATCCAAGAATGCTATTGAGAAGCTGTATTCAATGCAAGATAATTGGATTAGAATTATAACTAACAACCTGTTGCAAAACCAGCAACAGGCTAGGTGCTGGAGGGGGATCAATAAGTTGACCTTCTAGTATCCTCTGGAGATATCTATGCCTTTAGGTGTGACATTTTGTAACAGTCTGTAAGGAAAATGTGTCAATAAAGGTCTCCATTCTGCCATGGTGTCTTGTTTTATCAGGATGCAATTAGCACTAGGGTAATATACAGAGAAGTACAAACAAGATATTGTTTGGAGTACACATAGTGAGACAGATGGAAGACAACTGTATTAAAACGTAAATATAAAAGGCTTGGACTAACAAGAAGGCAACCATCATCTTCTAAGAAAAAAAAAGCAGACCTGGAATTTCTGCAGGTGGTGGTAGGTTAACCTGTGATGCAACATCAGTGATAGCACAGCAATTTATGATGGACTCGGCAGACAGTAGAGTAGCAATGCACTTGGCTTGACCACAGCTCCAGAGCCTGGCTTTGCCATCCCTGCAAGAATGAAGACCAAGAGAATTGCTCAACTGTGGTAACTATTTACTCTGTAGTTTGTTATGTAACCTCATTCCCTGTCATAAATCTAAATTACCTACACAGTCCTGAACATTTTTTTTATTAAATTATGCATAACTTTATTAATACAAAATAGGAAACACTTGAAGTTAAAATGGGACTTATATAAAGTGAATACAGGTTGACCATCACTAATCCGGCATCATCAGGACTAGTAGGGTGCCAGATTAGTGATTTTGCCAGATTACAGTGGTTAGGTTAGAATACACTTAACCCTACTGAGATATTTATACATCAACGATTTCACTCACTTTACATCCTATTTTTGGCCCATTCCATTGTTCCAGTCCACCAAAACTCATAGCTATTTTGCTAGTACAGTAGGGCCCCAGTTATACGGCAGGTTAGGCTCCAGGCAGTGCTAGTACAGTAGGGCCCCAGTTATACGGCAGGTTAGGCTCCAGGCTGCTGCCTTAAAGTGAAAATCGCCTTAAAGCTGAACACCATTTTTGTCCACTTATAAATGTATGCAAATGCCAGACAACAAGTTTACACTAACTTATATTAACCCTTTCAGGGTCCGTGCCGTAGATCTACGGCTTTACGTTGAGGGTCCAAACCGTAGATCTACGCCATGAGCTCAGCTCACTCTGATAAGCTGTGAGCGGTAAATTTGGGCCTAGATTTATTTATTTATTTATTTATTTATTTAGTAATTTGAGCATACATACAGAGGTGAGAGATATGAGAGAATACATCTATGTGGTGTGCACCACATAAAACAAATCCTGCAGCACACTGTGTATAATGAGAGAAAAAACTGAGACTGTAATTTTCGATTAAAACAGCAACTTTGCAGTGTTTTTTGTATGTT